TATTTTCTCTTTACTTTGTGTGTGCATGTGTGTGTGTGTGTGTGTGTGCGCGCGCACACACACACACACAGTGGGATTCACATGCCAGAATTTCTTACAAAATTCTCTGTAAAATATATAAACATTCACATGGAGCTTTCTGTCTGGTCAGCTCCAAGAGGTCATGTAATCAAAGACCAGCCAGCTCTGCCATCCATGAAAATATGATGTGCTATTTTCACAGCTGTAGATGACAATTATGGCAAGACAAAAATTCTAAATGATTAGGAGTAAGACCATGGCAGGTTGAGGGTTGGATAAGGAATCCTATTGTAGACTTGAGAATATGTGATATTTATGTCACAGTCTGAGTGTGGCAAACTTGAATCATTCATGAGGCATTGGAGAGCTAGAAAAAAATGAAAATGTAAAAGGAATCGATAAATACATAGCATTATTTTGTCAGTATTGATTGACCAAGGCCTCTATTGGATGCTCTGGTTTGTCTCTGTCAATAATGATACTTGTTTCCTTATTCAAAGAACACTAGGATGGAAGTAAAAGTACTTTGGGCACAATTCTGATTTTCTTTTAAACTGTATATACACATGAATTGTTCTTGTGCCATTTTCTGTCTTGGAAAAGCACTGGCTGGCACCATGCATATTTACTTTATATGCTGAAGACTCACGTCAACCTCAAACAGACGCAAATCACTTTAACTTGTCATAGTGTTATTTTGTTCATCCTAAAAGTCCAGAAGAGCCTTCCAAACTTGAAAAATTTCTCTCAATTCAGAGGAGGAAAATTCAGAACACAGTATTTGAATGTTCTGCCCAGATTTGTCACACACACAAAGCATGAGTGAAAGAGGGTAACGCCCTTCCCTACTAATCTCTGAACTCATCACTATTACATTGAAATGATACCAAAAGGTAACAACCTTGAGCCCCACATCTCCCCAGAATATTAGAATATAAATTACTGCATACATGAGTTTAAGGACTCCAACATATGTTTTATGTCAGATGAAACAATGCTATTTTGGAGGCTAAAGAGAAAAAAATAATCAAATCCAGTTTTTAGGTAAAAATATGCTGAATCTTTAGCACATATCAGTAAAATTGCTAGAATCTGGTGTTTCACTTTTTTAAATACCACAACAGTTGAACCTTTCAGCAATTCTAAAATCAACTCCCTCTGGGAAAGATAGTGTGCTTAAAGTGTTGTGTGTCTTTTTTTTTTTAATTTAAAAATGTAACGCAAACAGCTAACAAAACAGGCTGCCCATAAAATCAACAGCCTAAGCAGCCCTGGAGTATTTTACAACATCCTTCAAGACTATTCAAGGCAACATAAATAACTCTTGCCAGCAAGGGAAAATACCCTTCAGCTTTTTTTTTTCCCTTTCCTTTTTCTTTTTTCAGGCTTTTAAACCATTTTGGTAGTGATTTGTTACATCACAGACAAAAATACTTCAAACAGAGTCAGGTGGTATCCTTTGAAAAGTAAAGAATTGCCAAGATAGAATAATCTGTGAATAATTATAGGATAAACACATTCCCTAGACTGGGGGATTCCTAGGGGTGTACCTGTCACTAGAAACAAGAGCTACGCATCTGCTAGCGCAGCGGTCAAGGGCGCCCTGGGCCCCCAACAAGTAACTGTTACCCCCCAATCAGAGATAGGGCAGTCCTCGAGCATGGGGTGGCCTCCCCAACAGGAACTATTTCTAAAAAGGCAATAATAATAGCTGTTATTTATTAGGCACATGCCCTGAGGTAAAGGCTCTCGCGAATCACCTCCTTAATCTTCACCATTAGCCTAAAGACTAAATGTTATAATTATGCCCCCTCCCGCATTGTACCATTAGAAAACCTAGACTAAGGGGGCTAACTGTCTCGCCAAGGTCTTGCCCTGACCAGTGGTCAGACCAGAATCCAGATTCAAGTTGGACTGCAGCATGCTCACCATGCACTGTGCTCTCTCTTCTGCATCTCTTCACTGATATTTACTGCACCGCAGCCTGCCAGCTCTAAGTTCCAAGACAGGACGGGCTCCGTGCGCAGCAGGAAGTAGGAAGCCATGTAAGGCTGCCGTTAACCTGAACTCTATGCCACCACTTCTGCGGAAATGCAAGTCACTGTCACAAGCATTTCCTGGTTCGCCACTTTGCTGACACATCCGAGGAGGAGATAGAGGCGAAGGGCCCATGCTACCTGCCCTCAAGGAGATTACTTTTTAGTGGGAAAGCAAACACTTAGATAATTTGTTCCACAACACGTCAGTGATCTAACAAAGGCAGACCCAGAGTGGATTCTGACAGCACAGAAGCCGGAACAGACAGCTGTTGCCATCAAGTTCACAAATGAGAGCTAAATCAAGGGTCCTTGAAACAGCTGGCTCTCTTGCACACCACTACGGTAGTAAATGTGTAAGGGTGATCACATGAAATCATAACAACATCATGAGGTGGGTGCTCTCACTCCACCCTTTCATTTTAGAGGACAGGAAACTGAGAAGGAGAGGACAATGTAGCGACTGTCAGAGGTCACACAATTCTGTGTTGGGAGCTGGGATCCAAGCTAGGTATATAAATCCAGGTTCTCTGAGAAATATGTATGAGACTGGGTTACAGGAGCAAGGGTTTGGTGAAGGGAAATACCCGTGTGAAAAGCAGCAGGAGAAGATCAGGAAAGCCTGAGTAAGTCAGCAGAATGCAAGCGCGAGGCTGACCTCAGTGAAGCCGAGGAGAAGAGATGACTGGGGAGAAGCATCCTGGATGGCTGTACCATCTAGAGAAAAGTCAGCAAAGCCTCTGAGGAATCCTTGAGCCAAATATGGCCAATAAAGAAGTCTTGGGTTTCCCAGAAATTGCTCTCTTGAGCTATGAGAGGGGGCTGTGGGGCCCATCTACCTTGCATGGTCAGAGGAGACGATCATATTGGAAAAAATGTCCTTTCCCACTCTAACCACATAAAAAATAGGGTGAGGTCATTTCCAGAAAAGCATAAATGGAAAGGGGGCTGGGCAGACCAGCACTGTGCCCAGACTGTTACACCTAGCTCTTTGCTGAAGAAGCAGTTGCTCTACCAGGAGCATACATCTCTTGAAAAGTGCACCTTGTCCTTTGGTTTTAGAAGTCACATCCCAGAGCACTGAGTTGATCTCATAACACTCGCTCTACTTGGCTCCCAGAGATGAAAGACTGACCTCACTCTCCTGGAATTTGGACTTGCAATCCCCCCAAATAATGATATCAAAGTTGATAGTAAGACATCTAAATCATCATCCAATATTTCACATGTCTCCAGGCTAAGCCAGCAAAATAGCCAGGGCACATCCTTTTCAACAGGTTGACATCTGGGCCATCTCTTCAATCATCCATTGCCTTTTTTTTTTTTTTTTTTCTATTTTGCCATTTTTAGGAGAAAGTCAATGCTGAGTTAGAACTTTAGGCTGTACAATAGGCTATTAACATCCATGATGGGCAGTATTTTCCCAGCATTTTTTATAGGGTGCCAGGCTTTTCTTAGAGTTTATGTCATACAATACTTAACTTGTTTGTAGTGGGTGGAGATGGAAACAGTCTATTGAAAACATCACTGCTTCCTCCCTAAAATTTAAAGGGGCTATTATCATCCTTTTAGATTCTGCCTCTCAGGCAATGTCTCACAAAGATAGGCTGGGAGAAAGTAAGGGCTTATCATATTCACAGGGTTAGCTTTTGCTAAATGAATATTGTGCTACTAGATCTCCATTAATAGCATACAAATGGGACTCCGCTCACACTGGGATAAGGGAGTGTGAAACACTTCCCTAGTTTAGTGTCTTGCCTTACCCTCTAAATCAGCATCTGCCACCATCTGGGATCATGGGCAACTCATGACATTATCAATTACTGTTGTGTTTTGCAACACCAGATATTGGTCTACCTCTTTGGGAAGCATCATGGTCGTGTATCTATCTGGTGAGCTCCAGGATCAGAAGCGACTGATACAAATCCCAAACATGGTCACATCTTCACTGTAAGAAACCAGGCACGTTGTTTTTTATTCACATTTCATGAAGGTAAAATGGGTAAGACACTAGTACTCATCTCTGAGAGAACTATGAGAATTATATAATAAAATGTCTGCAATTAGCACTTATAAGACAGTGACCAGCACATACACATGTTCAACTGGTGGAACTGTTATTCTTTTATGAAACTAATAGGTGGTTTTACTATTAGTTCTAGGTCTATCAATTTGTTCCTATGTGACCTCAAGCAAGTCACTAAATCTTCAGGAGCCTCAGATTGTGAATGATACCAATGCAAACAACGTCATCTCCTGAGGTTGTTGGGAGGATTCACGGAGATTACTGTGTAAACTGTAAAATGCGTGCAAATTTTAATCAAGATAACTATTACTGCCATTGTCGTTAGCTCTCAGGGAACTTAAACAGTTTGTGGACAGTTTTCCACTGGAGAACTAAGAGCTACGATCATCAAGAGATAATGGGGGAATGCGAATGATCCCTTCATGGCATTTTCCAACTTCGTATATATCTGTGTATGGCGTACACTGTGTAATAATGTATATCACAAGTTAACCCCTATCAAACCTATCGCTCATGAGTCAGTTAACCCTTCCTTCAGAGGGTATGTTTCCTTAGCCAACCCCACTGAGCTTGAGGACCAACTTTTTTTTTTTTTTGTAAATAATCTTACCTTCTTTGGTGTCAATAGGAAACAGTATTTACTCACTACTGTTTTCCTTTCAAAAAATCTGTCTAGTTGCATACTAGAAACGGTTTTAGCTGGTTTGTTTGTCTTGGACAGGCTGTTGAAGTGAAAAGTTTTTGCTTGGCTGAATGTGGGACAGTTTCATAACCCCTTCAAGAAGCGCACTGTAGGAGGGAGGATGCCAGCTCCGACGGCTGCTCCTCGCAGGCCTCCACTCGCCACCCATTGTCAAGGGGGGCCCGCGTCATTAAATTAAAACAATGAGCAAAGCAACAGATGCAATGAGACTAAATCCTGAGTGCTTTTGTTTTGTCACTGTCATTGTCTGCAACAAAGAAGTCACATGTGAGAGCCTGGGAAGATAGCCAAATGCAAACCAGACGACATCCCAGCTGGTTCTGAATGGCCTCCATCATACGCCTGTGTGCATGGGAACCATGCTACTTGGAGCAGTGTCAGCTTTATCGAGTTTCTGCCCAGGACTTGGCTGTGATGCCGAGACAGACCCAGAAGAAAGAGCCCAGAAGATCCCTCCACTCAGACTTTACACCTTACACTTCTGCTTTAAGAGAAAAGAAAGAGTTTCTGAATTGGGGAAAGGGATAAGATCTATATGGTTGGCCAAACTAACCTCAATCGTTTTTGCTACAGCGATTGTGAACGTGAAGAGAGAGGTACGGAAGATACCTGAACTTTTTCTTCTGGAAGCCTGTGATTAATTTGGCTTGAGAAGAAGACTGGAGATTAAATACCTCACGTGCTTTCTTTTTGCTTGTAACCATTTCATTCTGGAGTGTTTCCTTGGAATGGGCTTTATTCAGATTCTTTAAAATCCTTTTTCTAAGCTGTCATGCCTTATAAACAGAAAAAGAGGCTAAAACCCAAATTAGGGTATTTTTAGTCCTGTTAATTAATTTGGTTACTAGTTTGATAGAGCAATAGTATCCATAAAAATAGTGATTATGGGGGTTTGATGAGCCATATACCGTCAGCAGTGTCTACTGAGAACTGAACAGAGATGTTTCAAGGAGTTTGGGACAATAGTATGTCCACTCTGTCGCTGCATGTCTTTCTTCCATTTTCCAGAGAACTCCTGTAAGGAAGCAGAATAAGGTGTAAGGTTAGAAATAAAAACTTTACTGGTAGCTTAACAGCAGATGCTTTGCGGAGCAACAAATGCATGTCAAGTGAACCTGGTAAAATTTGTATGATATTAGAGGGGAAAGTGCCAGGATTGTAGACAGATAGCATCTCAAGCTCTCCTACACGAATGCCCATCTTCTTCCCACAAAGATTTTTTTTCAGTGGCCACTGAGCTAGATAATTTAATAAACATTTTTACACAATGGTGTTTTCCTCCTTCTATTCAGGAGGTATAAGATATTTTCTTTTTTTTTTCTTTTCATTTATTTTTATTAGCTGGAGGCTAATTACTTTACAATATTGTAGTGGTTTTTGCCATACATTGACATGAATCAGCCATGGATTTACATCACTGTTCTCCATAGTGGCTGTACTAATTTGCATTCCCACCAACAGTGTAAGAGGGTTCCCTTTTCTCCACACCCTCTCCCGCATTTATTGCTTGTAGACTTTTGGATAGCAGCCATCCTGACTGGCGTATAATGGTACTATTTACACCATCAACGTACAAAGTACTAACTTGCTTTTATAAAGGACTTGGTGATAACTCTAATGTTCCAGGTAGAGCTGAAAATATGTGTAAGAAAAATGATCAAATCCCTATGGGTCTGAGTCAACAGGTATCATTTCCAGTGATTAGTGGTTGACTCTGCCTCAGCTTCTCACCCTCTCCAGTTCTCAGGTCTGAATGATCTCCAAGGTCCCTCACAGTGATCTTTAAACGTCTAACAATGATAGGGAGAGTGATCATTTCCTTAGCCAGAAGGAAAGATTTGGAGATTCCAGTGCCTGTGATGAGAACCTTGGTTTTGGTCTGGATGGAACATGTTCCTGGGAAAAAGGAATCCTTAAAACTCATTCTGTACCAATAGTTATCCATTACGTCCTTCTCTCAGGCCTTCCTGACTAGAAGGAAAATCAAGAGAAGCCGCACCTGATGTTTATGCAACTAAATGTCATTTCCTTCTGGATTTCATTTTGCAGCTTATTTGTCTAAATAAATGTTGCTATTTAAGTATGTTCAAGGATAAAATAATAATTACAAAAGAAGTATAATGACTTGATCCTGCACATTATCAGAGGGTTCATTATATTCATTCAATAGGTATTTATTGAGTACCTGAAATATTTTGGGCACTGGTGTAGACATGGAGCTGTAACAATGAGCAGAGACATGTCCCTATTATCGTAGGGCTTCTATTCTAAGCAAAACTCAGTATTCCTTGGATAACAGAATGGTTGTTGATAGGTGAATGGTAGCACCAAAACAAGGAACCCAGAATGTTTAATCCAAGAATAGTTCCTTTCCAATAAATATTGAAGAATAATAATAATAGTAAATAACAATTGGTAATACTTATGTAGTTTTCACGTGTTCAAGGCCTATTATAAGTGATTTTATGTTCTAATTTTTTAATCCTTAATTCTAAAAGGTAGAAACTATTATTATCGCAGTTTATGGATGAAATTGAGACACGGGAGATTGTCACTTACACAAGTTCACATAGCTAGAAAATAGAGGAACCAGGATTTGAGCACAGCTCAGAATGTCTGTGATTTTGTAGTTTCCAAATCAGGTACAAAACTTCCCAATATTCTACTTCAAAACCTCTGCCTCTCTCCAGAGGAGAAAAAGAAAAAAAAATGAAAAATTATCTCCTTTTTACAGAAACTAAAACAGAACAGAAAGCAATAAAACAATGGAGGATGATCCCAGCATATGATTTTTTTTTCTCACTTGGAAAAGATGTTCCAAGCCAGAAGACTGGATTTTAAAGGATCCCCTTCCTGCCAAAGAACTTGTGATAGTGGCAGATGCATAAACACATATTTTTGTGTGATTACAAAGCAATTTGTGGTCCCCATGCCATCAAGGGTAAATTGAAGTAGCTTTAGTGAGGTTTGTCTAAATGAAAAACCCAAGGCCATCCACTTGTTTATGTCTTTCTCAGAAAACCCTGGCCCAAGGTGTCTATTAACCTGACTGGTGAGACATAAGGTATGAAGGTTGAGACCCAATGTTAGAAATAGATGGGTTGGGTACATAAAAATTCATCAAAATGATGTCACTTTTTCTCTGGTGTTTTTAGGAAGTACATTTGAAGAACACAAGCAGAGGCAGTGCGGGAAGCAAGAACTACAGGATGTAGGAGGACCTCCCCGAAGAGTGAAGAATGACGCGCCACCGGCAGGACCCTTCGCTCTGCACAAGTCACCTGTCAAACACCAGAAGACCTACCAAAAACAAGTTTGATAACATTTCAGAAGATGGGCATTCCCCCCAGTGAAACGAGTAAACATTCCAACATTGTCTTTAGGAGTGATTGTTCAAAGCTTTGCACCTTGCAAAAATGACCCTGGAGTTGGTAGATTGCTGTTGATCCTTTATCAATAATGTTCTATAGAGAAAATATATATATAGATCTTAGTCCCTGCCTCTCAAGAGCCACAAATGCATGGGTGTTGTATAGATCCAGTTGCACTAAATTTATCTCTGAATCTTGGCTGCTAGAGACATTCATTCAGCAGGCTTGTCTAAGTGGTTTATTAATTTTTTTTATTTGCACTTCTTTCTACGCAACACAGGCTGTTTGTTTTACAGTGTCTGAAAATCTTGTTCTTCTATCCCGCTCCATTCTCCATCACCTTTATATTTGCTGAATTTGGCCTCCGAAGCAGCAGCAGCAAGCAGTTAAGTAGCACACCAGTGTTTAACCCACAAGATCCCATCTGTGGCATTTGTACCAAATATAAGTTGGATGCATTTATTTTAGACACAAAGCTTTATTTTTTCCACATCTTGCTAAAAGATGCAAGTAGTTACAACTTTGAGGCCAATCATTTTAGGCGTATGTTTTAAGCATAGAAAGTCTCAAACTCTGAATGGTTCCTTCAAGAGATGAGTTAGTGTGTGACCTGATCAGTACTTCTCTCTTTTTATTTCTTCCATATAGAGCACTATGTAAATTTAGCATATCAATAATACAGGATATATCAAACAGTATGTAAAACTCTGTTTTTTAGTACAATGGTGCTATTTTGTAGTTTGTTAAATGAAAGAGTCTGGCCAAAACGGTAAAAGGTGAAAGCAAAACTAAAGAGGAAGCCTGGAGCCAAAGGTTACACAGAGGGGAAGGGTACTCAAAACTCAAACATTTGGGAAAGAGAAGCTCCCCAATTGTGGCTTCCAAGAAAAATAAGACACAAAGTCCACTGATACAAATTTGATTGGCGAGTCCAGAGAGGAATAGAAAAAGCAGAAGGCTAGGAGTTTAATAATCCTGGTTTCTTATTCTCGCTGAAGAAACAAACATCTGATGACTCTGCCACGGACTCACCACTGTGTGACCTTGGGCAAGTCACTTCACCTCTCTGTGCCTCAGTTTCCTCATCTGCAAAATGGGGGCAATATGTAATCTACCTACCTCACAGGGGTGGTATGAGGATTAAAAAGATAAAGCTCCAGATTTTTATCCTGAGTTGCTATGAGGGCATCAAGATCAGAGCCCTTAAGTTGCTAGGATGCAAAGAATTCTATAAACAACCCATTCAGAGCATAGCTAGAAAATTGATAAGCTGAAGGCTCTTGACATGCCAGTTCTTGTCAGTGAGGCTATCCAACTAACTATCTGTTAAAAGCTAACAGTTCAATCCCTTTTAAAATACTTTTCAAAATAGAAATATTTGCATCTACAATTTGATTTTGATCTGCATTTGGATTTATAAATATAAAGTGAAAATGGAGAAAGGAAAAGAAAGAAGGAGAAAAACAGATTTCTACAAGTGAAAGAATGGTTACTCCTTTTGTTAGCACATACTGACTCTTCCAGGCATTTACTAATAATCGAATAATTTGTTGTTGTTTAGTCGCTCAGTCATGTCCTACTCTTTGTGACCCCGTGGACCATAGCCCACCAGGCTTCTCTGTCCATGGGATTTCCCAGGCAAGAATACTGGAGTGGGTTGCCATTTCCTCCTCCAGGGGATCTTCCCAACCCAGGGATCGAACCCACATCTTCTGCTTGGCAGGCAGATTCTTTACCACGGAGCCACCTGGGAAACCCAATCTAATAATACTTATTTTAATATCATAAATGAGACTATTCATTTTGAAAGCCACAGTTATTTCCTCTTTTTAAGCCCAAGATTTCAAATACTGAAATAATAACTAGTAAAAAGTCACAAATTTACTTTCCTGAATGTATTTTGTTCTTATCCTTGGAAGTATATACATAAACATATATTTAAAAAAAATTTTTTTCACAAAAACATGCTTAACAAGAGTTGCAAGTTGAGAGACAAAAGTTTCTTTCACAGCTAGAAATTTTCTAGCTCATAACTCTTGTCTGCTTAGAAGAGTGGCTTCTAGTCCTCTGTGGATGTATCTTATCCATTCAATTGAAAATTGGTATCAAGAAAACCCAGTGATAGAACAAGTCCATGCTGACCTAGAAAAATATTTCCTGTCTATATATCAAGGTTTTCTTACTAAAACAACAAATCATTCATCATTCATATCTTTTTATCTGCCTTAGAATTTTTTGGTAAAAAGCAACCAGACTTGATTATTTCATGTAAATTATATCCCTTTTATTCTTGGAGAGTGTACATGCAAAGCAAAAATAGCATCTTTAGTTTTCATTCCACTGGTTCACCTCAAGGTTCAGAGGCCAGAAAAAAAGAGATTTCTTGTATCTCCAAACTTATGCAAAAAGAGGCCTCTTTAATGGATGTCCCTTTCAGCCAACTGGTATTTTAACCTCAGTCCACAGTGTTATTTGAATTCAGCACCTCCAGCATGCTGAATTATGTTCTGATCACCGTGGACAATGTAAAAGAAACCATAGGTGGTTTTGCTCTTCATCTATTTTCTGGACATATGGGTTCTGTGGATCCACTGGGAAAATGGATCCATTTTCCCAAAATGGCACTTCTGATTTTTATTTCTTATTCCTAGTGTATACCTTTTTAAATTACTGACTACCAATAACATGTTACATGCAACCTTCAACAGACTTATGTTTCCAGACATAGGTGAATATGTTAATTCTAAGAGTGTCTATGACTTATTTGATTCACTAATAATTCTATTCATAACCAAAAATACCCCAGTGAGAAAAGCTTAAATATGAAAAGCCATATTACTTTTCTTAATTTTTCTAACATATAGTCCTATTCAACTGTATCATAAATCAGCTAGTTAAAAATTAGCTAATTATGCTAACCCACTGTCTTATTTTCAAATGATTTAAAACTAGAAGTCAAATTGCTGTCAATTCCAAAACCCGGCTGATCACTATATAGTACAGCAGAATGACCCAGTATTGACAGAAGGAAGCACATAAAATCTTACAGCTCAATTTGTAAGCTTTACTTTAGAATTTTAAGATGAGGCAATATCAAGATATTTGCAAAAGAACTATAAGTACGTGTAAGAGTGAACTTTCAATTTATGGGTTGATTTCCAGTTTAATTTACAACACAATACCTATGTCAAATGTCCATTCCCAGTTCCCCAAATAGTATAATTGTATTATTAGAACATTTTAAAATGAAGAAGACCCACTAAAAAAGTGAAGGCACCTTTCCATTAGAATCCACTCTTCTAGAGATAAGGGAAAACTCTCCCAATACTCACCCTACACACACACACACACTCATCCTAAGAGTCCAATGGAATATTGAGAAGAAATCGCTTCTTTGAAAAATCTTTAAAAAAAAAAAAAAGCCTGGTGTCCCGGAAGATTCCTTCCCCTCCTTGTAATGTCAATGTTTGTGTAGATGAAACCATCTCATGCACTGTGGCTTCAGGGTTTCTGTTACTAGTTTATGCACTTGGGAGAATGCTTTAAATGGAAGATGTAGCACATTTTGCTTTCCCATTTATTGTTTGGCCAGCTATGCCAATGTGGTGCTAATGTTTCTTTAAGAAAGTACTTGACTAAAAAAAAAAAAAGAAAAAAAGAAAAAAAAGAAAGCATAGACATATTTTTTTAAAGTATGAAAACAACAATTCTATAGCTAGATGGCATAAGAAAATAGCATTATGTCTAGTCACCACCACCTTTCAACTTTTTATCACTTGCAAGTAGTGTACTGTTCACCAAATTGTGAGTTTGGGGGTGCAAGGGCTGAAGATAAAAATTGTTTTAAGTTAGAAGTCTCCATTGTTTTGTTGGCTCTCAAACTCAACAAAATTAGCAATATATTATCCAATCTGAACATGTTGTTTGATTCAGGAGCATGGAGTATAGAAGGGAAAGAAAAAAGAAAAAAAAAGACCTTATAGGCAAATGGCAGAATTGAAAAGATGATTGAGTTATTCATTGATTTGTGTGTGTGTGTGTGTGTGTGTGTGTGTGTGTGTGTGTGTACTCTCTGCTCTAAAACATACTCAGCAAGTGGAGAAAATAAAAACAAAGAGAAAAATGCATAGATTCACCTGCTAAAAATAGCTTCTGCCACATCCCCCTTGAGTAGTTCTTTGGCGTCGACTGGTTTAATAGAAGATATTCTCCCTTCACCTAAACATCTCAAAGAGCAGTAGCTCTCATAAAAGCAATCACTGATCTCATTGGGAAGTGTTGGAAAGTATTTCCTTCTGAGATGGGGGTTATCTACTGATAAGGACAGAGAAGAATTTATGAGAAATCGTTGAAAGAGATGGCTAACAATCTGTGAAGATTTTTTTGTTTTTGTTTTTACTTTATACAGTCTTTATGAATATCTTAATGTTCAAAAATGACTTGTTGTTTTCTTCTTTTTTTATATTGGAATAAGGGATGATAAGTTAAACCCATATAGACTGATTCTTTAAAACTATAGGCTAGATAGAAATGTATGTTTGACTTGTTGAAGCTATAATCAGACTATTTAAAAATGTGTTTGCTATTTTTAATCTTAAAAGATTGTACTAATTTATTAGAGACAGATCCTATTTGGTTCTCTTCATAAGAAAGAGCATTTCCCTTCAAATCACCTGGGCTTTCCCATCAATGTTTTTGAAAGAATAATCTGATTTATGCATCATTATGGCATCGTTTATTTTTAAATTTTAAAATAAAATAAGTGTGATTCTTCATGCCCCTCTCCTGCAATGCTCGTAAAATCCAAAGTCTGAAAGGGACAGAAAACAAAAGAAAATTTTGTTGGTTCTTTGTTTTGGGTTTGTTTGTTTTTGATGCTAGTTTAATCCTATAGTACATATTTGCTTATTGCTATGTTAATATTTTAAAAGACTTTTCTGTTAGGTATTAGAAACTGATACATAGATATCTTTTTTGTGTGATTTCTATTTAAAAAAAAAGGAGATGAGATGACTGTCTGAGCTTTAAGTGCGTGTGGTACAGGATAAAGATACAAATTTAAACAATCAAATCCTATCTGGAGCAATACTTTTTGTAGAGAACCTCTCATAGATGAGACGGAGGCCCAGGGAAGTTTTCAAACTCTTTTTTTCCTCTTAGTCCTTATTCATTTAGTATCTGTCTCAAAATTTTGTAGAGGACTGACCAAACTGAAACCCTGAAATGAAAGGGACCTCTTTTAAAACATACATTTCACCTGTTTTCTTAATTTATGAAGCCACATTGATCTTAAACATGGTCTCCATTTCTCCTCATTCTTCAGCTGTCATTGATAAGGTCTTTCAAGAAAAAAATCACTTAAAAAGAGAACACAAACCCAATTGAAATGTAAATTAAGATATAGTTTCTCCTATTTAACCCCTACTGAATCTCACCTGTCACCTTCAAATGGCCTTCATTCTCCTTAGGATATGCCTTTTTTTAATTGTCCAGGCCTAAATGCACTGATGTAAAAGTAGGAAAAATGAAAGAAGAGCTCAAAAATCCCTTCCAAACCACCCACTGGCCCCACTCACCTACCCATAGCAAAATCACTACTGTTAATCCCTTAATCTGATTTTTTTTTTTTTTTTTTTTTCNTGTTTTTTTTTTTTTTTTTTGGTATTTATCTTGTACCTGCTGCTAAACACACTGCAGGAGGGACTCTGAAACCTCAAGCCACCTACTCACATCTCTTATCTGTGTCTGTGTATTATTAAAATGTCTATTCAAATATAAAAAACTTTCAAACATCATGCAGCTTGTATTCAGTTTATACAAAGGCCCCAAGTACTATGTCAGATCTCTTTTCACTGAAAGAGCTAATGAAGTTGAAACCTGGGATTACATCATGTGTTTTGCTTCATTTGTTTTTATCACATTTATAGGCCAAGTGTGATAAGTAAATTACAGACACTGAATTAATCTTCCCTGCTACTCTGAAACCAGAAAATAATGATTGGTCATTCATTATATCTGTCTTAGTTCAAAACATATTTTTTATTAAATTAACTCTGTATTTGAAATTATTATTCAATTCATTTATGGCAGAGGAATATCGATCCTAATGACTTCTAAAAATGTAACTAACTGAATCATTATCTGACATTTACTGTTTAATAAGCATATTTTGAAAATGTATGGCTAGAGCGTCATAATAAAATGATATATCTTTCTTTAGTAGTTACATTAAAATTAATCATGTTTGATTAATTAGTTCTTTTGGACAATGTTGGTGTAATGTGTCATTCCTTAAGAATTCTATTGTAATGTAGCATTTTTATTAAGATCATTGCAGCAAATAAAACATGAAAACTTACCCAGAAAATAAAACTAATCATACACCAGAATGGAGATATCTTACAAAATTTACAGGTTATATTTAAAAATAAATGTTACAAAGAACTTGTATAAACTATGTAGAGATGTATGAATGGTACAATAGACGCATTAACAATAAAGCAGTTTTAAGTAAGCCATCCCACTCACTGTAATCCAACAGTGAGTTATAACCCATGACACAAAGCATTTGGGAAAAACTTTTCTATCACGCAGGGTACATAATATACAAGCAGCGTTTAATACACTCCCATGTGGAGAGATGTTATAAGAATGTGATCTCTTAACACTGAATTTTTGTTCCCATAAATCTAATTCTTTACTGAATAGACACTGTGAATATCAAACTCACAGTAGCATTTGTGGAAGCACCAGGTGGAAATTAGTATTGACAATTTCCCTCTTGTTGTTTGAAAGCATCTCATTCTGTTTCCCTTTACTTAAGCCCTCCGTGAATTATTGGGAAATTTACCTAAATGTAAAAAGGCTCACAAGTTTTGCACTTGATTTTAAGGAACTAATAATATTACTAAAGTTTCCTGTATCATTTTCCCACATGGGGCTCACCTTTACGCCCAATTTCACTCATTCAGAGTCCCCATGGTTCTGCCTAGGACCAACGAGAGGACTAAACCTCCTCCTTCTGCTTGTGCTCAGCATCACGCCTCCTGTGACCATAAGCTTCTAAGTGCACTGTGTACAGATGTGACATGTGTGTGGCTCGTCTGGGCAGCCTTTTCATTAGAAGTTTTGTGGATGGTGAAATCAGAGGGCAGAAAGACGTCAAACATAACTGTCATGTTAGTAAGTTCCCTTCCTCTCTTCTATAAACTCTCCCAGAAACTACTTCCTAACCAACCCTTCATCTTCTCCTCTTGAAAGAACGTGCAAGAAAATTCTACTACAGTTCTCCACCACAGCTTTGCCCATAGTGGGAACGGGGGCAGGCCAGCTCGCCTTTTATCATTGCATATGCCCAAAACTTGTTTCTTTCCTAAACAAAAGAATTGCCTTCTTTCAAGATCATCAAAATCAAATTATAGTCTCTTTTTAAAAATTATATTTTTCCTTCCTATAAGATCTGTGTGAGTGACAAATTATCACCACCCAAACAATGGTTAATATTTGCTGAGCACTAACTATGGATCAGTCATTACACTAAGTGGTTCACCTATATTTTATCATTAGTCTTTATAAAAACCCTATGAGTTTGGCACTATTATGAACCCTATTATACACATGAGGAAATGGAGGTTCAAAGACATTATTTAACTTGCTGAAGGTCAGAGACAGGCAGAGCAGCCTTGAAGCTGGGTTTGAAGACATCAAAATATGTGCTTTCACTACTTCATCATTCATGCCCCAATTCAGACACGAAGACAGTTCCATACACTGATACATTCTTGTTCATATTTGATTGTACGAGGCAGAAATAGAGCTAATTGGACGTTTGAGTGATAAACTATTTTTGAATATGAACTTAAGGTAAATCAGCATTTCTGCTCAATAATCAATATGTCTAACCGGGCTTTTAACCTTACCTACAGCCATTCCTCCACAGTCCACATCCCAGTGTCATTCTGTGATAGCCCTTCCCATCATGCAGGTAATACCCAAGGGTAAATCAGTCTCAGCCAGGAAGGGTATTCTTGAGTCCTTACACAGTTCAGAAATAAACTCTCTCTAAAAAACTAAAACTAGAAACTGATCACAAAGAATCTTACCAAGAGCTCTGGCAACAATACACCTACTGTTCTCGTGATATTTTGTCAAAGTCAGTAAGGTCTCAAGAAACACGGTTGAAGCAAGGCTTCCACAGACAAAAATGTGGACTCCCAGAGTCCATGTTCCTAGTTTCTATATCCCTGTCTTTCAAAAAGGCCTTAATTATCCCACTCTAGGGATTCCCAGTGGGTATAGTTCTAGTCCTAGATGGCATTTTAGAAATGTGCAGGGACATTTGGGGTTGTCAGTCACAATGATTAGGGGGTATTATGGAAATTTATTGGGCAGAGGTTAGAGTTCCAGACACTTCATGCAAATGATAAAACCTATTTATAATTACCTAAGCATGATTTTAACATAAACTGAATTTTCCAGGAATGCTACCATTGTAAACTAAGTGGAAGGTGGTAACGTATTTCATTTGGAACTTTATCAAACATTGCCCACTGTTCCAGAAAAAGCATCACTGATGGCAATGCTAACTGTGCTATTTGAATCTCTTCATTCTCTGCCTGTATCAGTCGTCTTGCAGCTGTCATGTTCATAATTTTCCACATGGGGTGAATATCTGACCACTATGTTTTCTAATAGAATTGAGCCTTAGCATTTCTATCTTGCAATGCATGTTATTTTGCTACAAACTGTTTTCATTCTACTTTATATTACATTTCAGGCATCACTTTTATTTTTGCTGAACTTGTGTACATATTATCTATGAATTTCACTTTGGGATATTAAAGAGTATATCATAAAATGTTTGCTATAAAAAGGAGAGCTCTGGGTATGATAGGGCTGAATACAACAATTATGATCCTACCGGAGTCATGATGATAGACGGATGGCAGAGCCTTTGCCCTCTTCCCAGTGAGGCATTTAAGTGTAGAGCTGAGCTGAAAGCTTGTATCTTCCTCACCTGTTTATGGATAAAGATAAACCTCTTTGGGATCCAATAAAGGATAATGGTTATTGTTGATACAACATCTGTTTTCTAAATGTTCTTTCCTTCACCCTGTGATGGGATGAGATGATTTGGAAAAGAATAAAGCAATCACTGAAAACAGAAACAGATGTAAATTGGATTTGAGACAATAGCAGCAATATATCAGAAGTAAAATTTGACCTTGGACTTCAAGCAAGGTCGGAAATGTGGCCTAGAAGGGAGGTTTCTCTTTATAATGGTTACTACCAGGCAAGTTAAGAGTAACTGTCCTATGACTTTCCAACTCTACTGCATTTATTGAAGTCATTGGCTCCCACTAGTCCCCAAACTCCTCCACTAGAGGGAACACTGGGGAGAGGCTCTCCAAATGGAAATTTGGGGGATTCATAGTCTGTATTCACAGCAACTTCTCTACATGAGTGCTGTGGCTGAATCCTCCATTCCATCCTACAAACACAGACCTCTCCTTCCCAAACCCAAGTGTCCAAAAGATGTGATCCAAACAGAGATGGGGAAAGTGTCCTCCTAGAGAGGGAAGGAGACAGCAGTAAGAGAGGCAGAAATCATCCTCAGGATTGTACTCCCACCCCTTATTTGGCCCACATCTTCTAATTCAGCCACTCTTCTAGAATCTAAAATATTCGGATAGGGTTACTCCAGGACCAATATTCTCTCCCTATTTTTTTGTCTTTTTCTGTCTCTCTCTCTCCTTTAAAGATCTTTTGGAAATGGAAACATTTCCATTCCTTTCCTGAAGTGAAAGTGTAGTTGCTGAGTCAGGTCTGACTCTTTGCGACCCCTTGGACAGTAGCCTGCCAGGCCCCTCTGTCCGTGGAATTCTCCAAGTAAGAATACTGAAGTGGGTAACCATTTCCTTCTCCAGAGGATCTTGCCGACCCAGAGACTGAACTTGGGTCTCTTGCATTGCAGGCAGATTCTTTACCATCTGAGCCATTCTCTTAGTTAATATTGAAAAGTCTCTTCTGGTATCTCTAGTCTTCACTGCAGTAATAAAAGAGACAGTGAAATAATTTAATATATATGTATGCCAGAATGCTCTCATATCCATTTCCCAACATTCTATTTATCTGCTCTGTTTCACATTTTCTAGCTCCTGTTGCTCTGATTTCCAGGTAGGTTTGGCTAACAGGAGGTGCTAACAGCAATAGAGATCAGGAAGAAGGGAGAAGCCAGGTGTCTCCTCCCTTTTTTCTCTGCTTCAGGTAGCATCTTCAGCAGTAATTGCAGCCTTGGCCTCCCACCTGGAGCAGCACACTATCCCCCCGGTGGACCTAGATCCATCCACATGGTTTTTCTCAGATGGGAACATGACTTCCTCTCTGTGTCTCCCTAGTTCTAGAGAGGGTAGTGACTTCCTGATTTTGTTACTCTCTAGATTGACTCCCTTCTCTTATTTGACTACTTATTGCTCCCATCGCCTGTACTAAATATCCTCTGATTAAAATACCTAGAATCATTTCTGCTCCCCTCTCTGGACCTTAACTAATACCCACAGGAATCACACAGAGGTAAGAAGCATGCGTGCTAAAATCAGGCAGATGTGGGTGTGTATTGTGGCTCTGACCCTTCCAGCTGGGTTCTCTAGACAAACAACTTCTGTGAGGCTCAGTTCCCTCTTTTCTAAAATGGTATTAACAACAACAACAACAGTATCTACCTCTTACTGCTATTTGAGGATTAAACACTATCATGTAACAGTTCCTAAATTTCTAGGGTTCTCAAAATTGTAAAATTTCCAAAAATAAGAGTAAAATTTTCAAGAAACTGAAATAGGATGGCAAAGTCTTTATCTGGTTAAAGTAAGGACATTTTAAAAAACCAATCACTACCACCGTGTGATTCAAAGGGAATCATCTGAAAACATGACATGAATATAATCTCAGACTTAAGAGCAGTTTCTTAAATTTAATAAATTAATCTTTATGGAAAACATCACATCATCTCCATTCATTCCTTTCATCTTTTTGGTTTTTCTACGGTTGAAAACTCTAGCACAGTCCAGCACTAGTCTGCTCCTCAGTTCTTGCTGATAATTCTGCTGTCACTACTTCTATTATTATTATTAGGAATGACAGTACTTATTAAGGATATAAGATACTTAAGGCACAATTCTCCCCATTGGCTTTGTCACACCCTTTTCCATACACATTCTGACTCATGGCCCCAACTATTCTGAACAAGTGACCACCTCCTCCCCTAATTTTACTCTGACGTAACATTTCAGGGGGAAAATAATGTTTGAGCAAAAAAAAAAAAAAAAATCCTTATACTACAAAAGCAAATGTAAACGTTCAAGTCTAGCATTTTCTTGCTGTGTCACTTTAATCCCTTCTCTTTCCTCTCCCTAGCCCAGCCCATCCCAGTCAGCACAGCTACAGATTTTCCATATAATGATTTTTAACTATTTATATGCTATTTTCAGGCCCTTCCTAAATAATACCAAAACATTTAATCTAAGTAATTCAAAGAAACAATGCAAATAAGCCAGTTATTTGTCATCATGCAAAATCTCCATTGGCTTTGTATTTTTCAATAATTTCTCAACCAGTTTTACTGGCTTTTTCAAGACACAACTTCAATCATTCTGCCTTTTACTTTTAGTCATATTTGTTACAATTCATATTCTTCTAAGTCATTACGATTATTCTTAGCAATTGCTGTTAAATGATATTAGATGGTCTGGTCTCTTAATTCTCAGTTTTTTCCATTTTCCCTAATATCAAATAATAGAAATATCCCTCATGAGGCAAACACATCCCTGAAAGAGAAGAGAATATATTTTCAAGTCCTTCTTAAGCTGTGAGAATTTATTTTTTATCTTTCGTTGTATGTGTAACATTATTCCGAATCCTCTTTGGGGTTGCTCCTGCAGGACCCAGGGGGTGTATCAGTCACTGGAAAAGCAACTTGAGAATCTCTGGGATTGATTTTTGAAAATGCAGTATCCACAGAAACAGACCTCAGATGCTATCCCAGCAAATGCTGGCAACTCTACACTTCTGTGGAAGATGCCTTCTGTGGGTTTGCCCAGCGGCTGTCTGTGGAGACCATCACTCTTTTAAACACAGCACATTCTATGCTGTTTCCTTGTATGATCATTGCAAGAATTCTGACTGTAGAGTTGTGTTTCCCAGAAAGAATACATAGCAAGCTAAAAGCAGCTGGATAAGATAAGGAAAATCAGGCAGTGAAAGGTTTGCTTAGAGGCTCTGGGGCATGTTCAAGCCCTCCAGGGTTTATTTGTATAGTATTAATAAGCCATTTCTAAAAGTCAAACAGATAAAACTCCAAAACTCATAAGTAAACTCTTGCACTGAAGTACCACATATTCCTGGATCAGTACACTGCTTTTTACCTAAGAAGTAAATGAATGTGGGAAACAGATGTGGGTGGCCATCAACAGGACAGTTCCATGTGCATTTGGTCGGGCTATTGCCTTTGAAAATCTGATCTCTGTCCCACGAGCTGAGGGAGGAAGGAAGACTAAGCTTTTTGAAGGAGCACCCCAGATAAATCCACGTGGAGCCATTCTTCCAGTAGTTTTAATGATTTGCAAACAACCACTCACACTTTCTCACTGGGCCCCCTGGGGACCCATGCTGCATAGTTTAGAGACAGGCAGACAGGATTATGGGTAAGGTCTGTGAACCATGGAACACAACTCTCCTCTCCATGAAATGAACTGGCCCTTCTGGGGATCAAACCTATGACCTTGTGCTCATTAGCACTCTACTCCAACCATGCCCAAAACAAATACAAGTTTGAAGCCAGAGGAGATTCAAACCACACTTAAGAATGTAATCAACAGAGCCACAGGGAAACACATAAAGTAAACACTTTGTATATAGGCAAAAAGAACAGACGTTTTGGAAAGTGCCTACATTTTCTGAATCCCTTAGTCATTTGAAGGCTTACTGGAAATTTCCACTTGGATACCTTCCATCATTTTGACTTCAACCATTTTCCTCCCTCAGCCCCCACCCCTCAAAGGAATTTACCATTTGGAACTTTCAGTTTATGGCACCATCACTCAGTCAACCAAGTTCAGACACTTGGCGCTGTCCTTAGCAACACATTTGACCATCCAATGCATATTTAGTCCAAAACAAAATTCATTAAGGCCTTTATTCAAACATCTCTCATATCTCTTCTCCTGCCTATCGCTAGAATCATCACCACAATCCAAACCTCATCACCTTCTGGATATTATAATAACTGCCTACCAGCTTTTGCTTCTCTGATCCATTTTATAGACCATTTGTAAAATTCTGCTTTGTACACCTTCTCAGAAACTTCAGTGGCTAGTTACAACTTGATATCTTATATTTTCCCAAAATCTATTACAGCTAAACTATTTCTATTCATCCCCATCTTTGCATATGCCCCTCTTTTCTAAATATCCAAAGGCTAGATACCATTAAAGACACAGTGCATATTTCATTTCTGTCTTTCTAGGCTAGTTGAAACCCTATAGATCTATCTCTTTTGAACTCTTGAACCTCACGTTAGCAGCACTATTCATTAGGACTTTAATTCTCTAATAATCTATCATGATGTTAATTTTTCTTCTATGGAACACTTGTCTGTCAATCATATTGTAAATCTCTGAAGGCAGAGATTTGGATTTTAACCCACAGGTATTTACTGAGCCCTAATGTATGAGCAATACTATCCTGGGAATATAATAATGAACAAAAAAGACTTACATTATATTAAGAGGAAGGTGAACAGTAGACAAATATATGAAGAAGATACTTTCAAATAGTAGAGAAAACAAGAGGGCAATTCAAGAAAACATGGATTGAATCAGTATTACTAATTCATCTCTTTTCTGGGGCCAAGCAATCCAATGGAGAAGTCGAATTCTTACAAAACGAATTACTATCCCATTTTGCCTTGGGTTCACTTTTCCTCTAGCATTCTCTCCCTTAACAGAGCCCGCCCTGTCATCTGGCTTTCTCTGCCATGAAGACGATGTTAGACTGATCTCCTTTCTGGAATTCAGTCATTATAACCCACTGTCTGACAATCACCTCCACCTAGAACTGTCCAGTACAGCAGCCCCTGGAGAACAGGTCAAAATGGGGATATGCTGTAGGTATAAAACATGTACTAGATTTCAAAGACTAAGCATGAAAATATATTAGTGTTTTTGGTATTTTTATATTGACTAAGTGTTGTCACAATAATATTTTGGCATTAAGTAAAATATATTATCAAAATTAGTTTCATCTGTTTCTCTTTACTTTTTTTTTCATTTATTTTTATTAGTTGGAGGCTAATTACTTCACAACATTTCAGTGGGTTTTGTCATACATTAACATGAATCAGCCATGGAGTTACATGTATTCCCCATCCCGATCCCCCCTCCCACCTCCCTGTGACTGCTAGAAAATTTTTTAATGACACATGGCTTACATTTGTGTCTCTCATTGTATTTCTATCAGACAGTGCTTACCCAGAAGATCTACGAAACATTCAATAGATATTGAGCACTTACTGTATACTAGGTATGATTCTACTTGATACCTAACTTCTAGTATATGATTCTACTTGATAACTTCTAGTATTGCTAGTACTTCAATTCAAACTGAAGGTGTCTTTCCCTTTCCCCAAGGCTACTCTGTATTTTGGCTTTCCTGTGTATTACACGTGTTTTGTATTGCAGCCCCATGGACTGTAGCCTGCCAAGCTCCTTTGCTCATGGAAATTTCCAGGCAAGAATACTGGAGTGGGTTGCCATTTCCTTCTCCAGGGGGTCTTGCCTACCCAGAGATCAAACCCTCATTTCTTGCATCTCCTGCAGTGGCAGGTGGATTCTTTCCCTCTAGTGCCACCTGGGAAGCTGATATGTTGGCCTTCCTACCTTTGTTAGTGATTCTGTTCTAACTTTTCCAAGTTAGTTCCCTTTTTTCACAGCTCACCATTTGCCAGGTCTTGTCATGTTTCCTCTGTAGCATGGTCTCTATTCCCTCCCTCCCTTCTGTTCTCATCCCACTGTTGATGTCTCTTGAAGAATAATTTAGTGATTTCTGCTCCTGTTGGGCTTCCCTTGTGGCTCAGCAGTAAAGAATCTGCCTGCAATTCAGGAGATGCAGGAGACATGGTTTTGATCCCCTGGAGGAGGGCATGGCAACCCACTCCAGTATTTTTCCTGGAAAACCCTATGGACAGAGGAGCCTGGTGGGCTACAGTCCATAGGGTCACAAAGAGTCAGACACGACTGAAGCAACTTAGCTTGCATGCTGCTCATGTTACTGAAACACAAGTCCATGTGCCCAATGAACAATGAGGCCAAGCAATGCCAAAACTTCCGACTTTGGGGCAGAGAAAGATTTATAACAAGGCCCTGCAAGGAGGTTTGCAGCTCATGCCTTAAAAGCCCCTGAACTCCCCACAAGCTTTCAGCAAAGCCCTTTTCTAGGAAAGGTGAGGGAGGCACATGGGTTGTAAACTTCTTCCTGTCAGATCCTTTATTCTTGAGGTCAGGTCATAATCAGGTAATGATGTTCCTGTAAACCTCCACTGAACAAATGTTATTCTGTTCTAACAAGAAAGGGCAAGGTTCCGAGGCACAGCCTTCACCCCACAATGGCCCAGTCCTAACTAAGAGGAGGCAGATCTCAGTTGGCAGCTTCCTCAGGGCCAGGTCCCCAGACCCTGCCCAACTGTAGCAGTGCCCAAGACCCAACTGGTCCTCAGACTCCACAGGCCACCCCACGGGGAGGGGAGGTGGGGGATGGCCAGGTCCCACAGACTGCGACCCAGGTAGACTTCTGCTGCCCTTAGGCACAGAGACAGGGATGGAAGAGAGGTTCACCGCTCCCTCAAGACCTGGGCCAAGGCCAGCGGGCCGCCTGCTGCTGGAACATGCAGTCCCAGCCTGCTCCCTGAAACACCAGTTCCCCTGCTGGCCCAGGGCCCGATGAGCTGGGGGCCCAGGGGAGAAAGTCGGGATCTGCCTCTTACCTCACTCTCTGCTTGAGGACCACTATCCCACCAACAGATGGAACCACTAATGGTCGCTCAAGGACAGAGCGTTGCTTGTGGGAGGGGCCCACTGTGGCCCTGACCAGTGACTGAGGAGGACCACTCGCGGTTGCTCATTGAAGCTGGTTGCTTTGGGGAGGGGCCTCCTGACAGGCACGGACCAATGGCGGAGCAGGACTATCAATGGTACTGGGTAACCGTTGCCAGGTAACGGGGGTGGGGTCAGTAATGGTGCACGGCCACAGCCGTGTGCTAAGGGCCGTGGCTGCAGTACACTTCCGTATCTCCCCATTTCTGACTCATTGGAAGCGGCCTGATGCTGGGAAAGATTGACGGCAAAAGGAGAAGGGGATGGCGGATGATAAGATGGTTTCATAGCATCACAGACTCAATGGACATACACATCTGAGCAAACTCTAGGAGATACTGGAGGACAGAGGAGCCTGGTGTGCTGCAGTCCATGGGGTCACAAAGAGTAGGACACACTTAGCAAATACACAACAACAAATCTCCCCATTCCCATCTAACCTGTACGTTGATGCTATATCAGTTTTCCAAATCTAACACACTAACAGAATCAAAGAATGTTATAACTGAAGGAACATTGGGCATCCTTGTGGGATCCTCTCAAAATAATGGATAGAAAAGTGTTATAGAGGGAGTACTGCCTATTTGCCATGAATGCTTAAGTACCTCACATGTATTAGTCAGTTCAGTTCAGTCGCTCAGTGGTGTCCAACTCTTTGCAAACCCAGTGACTGCAGACCGCCAGGCTTCCCTGTTCATCACCAATACCTGGAGCTTGCTCAAACTCATGTCCATCTATAGTCACATTTAATCATTCCAACAACCTTATGTGGGAGATACTATTAATACACCCATTTTGCAGATAGGGATCCCAAGGTCCAGAGAGATGAAGTAAATGCCCTAAAACACAACACCAGTTGTGAGCCCAGGCCTATCTGATCCCAAAGGCCTTGCTCTTAATTTCTATGCTGTATTATCAGAGTAAATGGGGAAAGTCTTCATAATCCTGTTCCCCTAAACTTGCTATTCTCTCCATATCAGGAAATGATACCACTACTCATCCAGGGACTCAGGTAAAAAAAGTTAAGCCCTTTTTGATATCTTTCTCCCACGCTGCAATCAACTTCATCAGCAAACCCCATTACCTCTCCATTACAAATACATCCGAAGTTCGCTTTCTCACCATCTGCATATATATCCTCACGTTGTAGTTGTGGTTGTTGTTTAGTCACTAAGTCGTGTCCAGCTCTTGCAACCCCCTGGGCTTCTCTCATAGCTCAGATGGTAACAGATCTGTCCGCAATGCAGGATATGTGGGCTCAATTCCTGGGTCAGGAAGATTCCCTAGATAAGAAAATAACAACCAATTCCAGTATTCTTGCTGGAAAGTCCCATGGACAGAGGAGCCTGGCAGGCTACAGTCCATGGGGTCACAAAGAGTCAGACATGACTGAGTGTGTGTACACACACATATACACACCTGGACTGTAGCTGGCCAGGCTCCTCTGTCCACAGGATTTCACAGGAAAAATACTAGAGCAGGTTGCCATTTCCTTCTCCAGGGAATCTTCTCAACCCAGGGATCGAACCCATGTCTTCTGCATTGGCAGGTAGATTCTCTACCACTGAGCCACCAGGGAAGCCCCATATCTCTTTATATATGTTATAAAGATAGATATGTTATATATGTTATAGATATATATCTATATATGTTAAAGATATATATGTTATATCTTTATATATGTTCCAAAATATAAAACAGCTTGTGCAGCTCAATATAAAAAGAAAAGCAACAATCCAATTGAAAAATGGACGGAAAACCTAAATAGGCAATTCTCCAAAGAAGCCATACAGGTGGCCAACAAATACATGAAAAGATGCTCAATATCATTAATTATTAGAGAAATGCAAATCAAAACTACAAAGAAGTATCATCTCACACCAGTCAGAATGGCCATCATCTAAAAATCTACAAATAATAAACACTGGAGAGGTGTGGAGAAAAGGGAACCCTCCTACACTGTAGGTTGGAATGTAAATTGGTACCGTTATGGAGAACAGTATGGAGGTTCCTTAAAAACTAAAAGTAGAGCCATCATATGGCCCAGTAATTCCACTCCTGGACATATATCTGGAGAAAACCAGAATTCAAAAGGATGCATGCACCCCAATCATTGCAGCACTATTTACAATAGCCAGGACATGGAAGCAACCTAAATGTCCATCAACAAAGGAATGGATAACAAAGATGTGATACATATATACAGTGGAATATTACTCAGCTACAAAAAAAAGAATTAAATCATGCCATTTGCAGAGATGTTGGTGAACTTAGAGATCATCATACAGAATAAGTTATAGAAGAAAAACAAATATTGAATAATATCACTTATATATGGAATCTAGAAAAATGGTGCAGATGAATATATTCACAAAGCAGAAATAGAGTCACAGATGCAGAGAGCAAGCTTATGGTTAGCAAGGGAGGAAGAAGGGGGTGGGATGAATGGGGAGACTAGGACGAGCATATTAATACACACACCACTATGTAAAAACCTACTGTATAGCACAGGGAACCCCACTCAGCACTCTGAGGTGAAGGAAATGGGAAGGAGATCCAAAAAGGAATGTATTTTTATATGTGTATCTGGTTCACTTTGCTGCACAACGGAAACTGACACAACATTGTAGAGCAACAAAACTCCAATAAAAATTAATTTAAAAATGAGTAAATAAAATATGAAATGTAAAAAAGTAGAAGTATCCAGTGTCTATATAAAATTCCTGTTGTCAGTATAAAAATACAAATAACCTAGTAGAAAAATGGGCAAAAGATATGAACATAGAACTCATGGAAATAAATACACAAATGGCTGTCTTTTGTATGTTGAAAAAAAATGTTTGAAAAACAAGGTGCTCAATTTCATTTATAAGCAGAAAAATAAAAAAGCAATGAGATAGAATTTTTGTTCATATTGACAAAAGTTTTAAGTTTGGTAATACCAAGTATTGACTAGAGTATGGGAAAACAGATATTCTCATGTGTGTCCTGCTTATGGATGGTATAAGCTGGTTCATTAAAGGGCANCTCAGGTGAATATGGTGGATGAAGCAAAACTTTGTAGCCCAATTTGTCCAACTTTTGAAGAATTGGTTGTGCGATGTGCAATCAGGCGTTGTCATGGAAAAGAATCGGGCCCTTTCTATTGACCAATGCTTGCTGCAGGCGTTGCAGTTTTAAGTGCATCTCACTGATTTGCTGAGCATACTTCTCGGGTATAATGATCTCACTGGGATTCAGAAAGCTGTAATGGATCAGACACCACCAAATGGTGACTATGACCTTTCTTTGGTGCAAGTTCTGCTTTGGGAAGTTCTCTGGAGCTTCCTGTAAGTCCAGTCACTGAGCTGGTCATCGCTGGTTGTCGTATACAATCCAGTTTTCATCACGCGTCTCAATCTGATAGAGAAATGGTTCGTTGTTGTTGAATAGCATAAGAGAAGTCACTTCAGAATGACGATGTTTTTGATTTTTGGTCCGCTCATGAGGCACCCGCTTATCAAGCTTTTTCACCTTTCCAGTTTGCTTCAAGCGCCAAATGACCCAAGAATGGTCAGCGTTGAGTTCTTCAGCAACTTCTCATGTAGTTGCAAGAGCGTCAGCTTCGACGGCTGCTCTCAGTTGGTCATCATCAGGTTCTGATGGCTGCCACTGCACGCTTCATTTTCAGGGCTCTCCTCTCCTTTGCAAAGCTTCCCGAACCCCACTGCACTGCACGCTTATTAGCAGTTCCAAATACGTTGTATGTTGGTGAGTTGTCTCCACTGCTTTGTGACCCATTTTGAACTCGAATAAAAAAATCACTCAAATTTGCTTTTTGTCTAACATCATTTCTGTAGTCTAAATTATGTATAGAACAAACAGCAAGTAATAAGTCATCAGCAAAAAACATAAAGCAAGAAGTGTGCGTTAATTTGATGTATAACATAACCACATTTATTAAAGAATATATTCCAATATCAAACAGTGAAGTTCAGCAATGCAAAACTGCAATTACTTTTGCACCAGCCTGATAGATAGATAGATAGACAGATAGACGACAGATATCTGAGTTCATTTAAGCTGCTACAAGAAAATGCCATAGACTGAGTGGCTTTCAAAGAACAGAAATTTGTTTCTGACAGTCTTGGAAGTTGGAAGTCTGAGATAAGAGTGCCAGCGTGGTCAAGTGAGGAATCTCTTCCAGACTGCACATTTCTCATTGTGTCCTCACATGGCGTAAGAGAGTAGGGAGCCTTGTGGAGTCTCTTTGATAAAAGCATTAATGCCATCCATGAGGGCTTCATGACCTAAGCCCTTCCCAAAGGCCCCAATTCCTAACACCATCATATTGGGCATTAAGATTTCATCATATGAATTTAAGGCATATAGAAATGACCCAGTAAAAAAGGTAAAAGTTTAAAATGAAAAAGAGACAAAGGGAAAACATGAAGATGAGATCCAGACCCCAACAGATTTAAAAAAAAAAAAAAAAGGTCTTTGACTGGAGAAAGGATGCATTCTCAGTGATAACAATGCAGGGAAACAATGCAGGGAAAAAGAAAAAAAAATGTGTAGCTGCAGGTAGGTTTATAAATTTGTAGAAAAAAAAAAAAGGTGTGCCTATCTGATGATGTTTACATTCTCCATGAAGTAGGATTCAAGATCATCATTTAAATTGAGGGCAGTGTGGGATGAGGAGAGGGGGCAGGGGAGGTGGAAGTCTGAGGTGGGAATAAAAGGTAAAAAATATATTCGTTGTGGTGGGTAATTAGGGGATATCTGTTGCAGAGGGTAGAAGGTCATAGAGGAGAGAACCGCATTAGCAGACAGTGTCTATTTGAAGGTGAGAATTGCAAATACACAGTGATACCAGTGTGACCACTGGTCTATGGCTATTAGTTGCATATACTAGAGGAAAAGGTCAAAGTCTTTGTTAAACACAGCATTAAATTTTACTTTCTTCAACCTCCAGTAAACTCCTTAACAGTCAGTCAAAAAGTGTGCATTCTATCCTTCAATTAAAAATAAATTCTTCTTAAATAGTGTGCATTCTAACTGGCATTTTGTTTTTGAGGTCAAAGAATTACATAGGGAATACTCCTTGGTACGGTTTTATTAAAACTGTTCTGGAAGCTTCTCCATCCCTTAAATGAGAAGCATTCTTTTGTTTTTATAAATGAACTGAGGACAATATGTATAAAGGCTCTTCTCTCTTCTTCACTCCCTTCACCACCTGTAACAGT